AAAAATTAAAAACACCCACATTTATTTTACATGTATTTAGCACTGAGCAGTGTTTGTATTTTTTTTTTTTAAATGTATTTAGCACTGAGCAGTGTTTGTGTGTTTGAATGTGTAGTGGAGAGCTGATTTCCCACAGTTTAACTCCACTGATATATTAAAAGAATGTAGGAACAAGTAGTAAATCCAAGAGAGTATCCAGCACAATCAGCAATAAAATCCAATAGTATCCCATCACCTTTTCCCAATCACTGGACGACACACAGTATCAGGAGTAGTGAAAATTAGAAGTGTATACAATAAAACAATGGGAATAAGTGTGGTAGCTAAAGTGCTACAAACCACCTGAGTGGGAAACCCCTCACACCACTCAATATAACATAAATGAATACATACAATAGATGGTAAATCACACTTCTGAATATGTCTGTAAGAGATATACAACACACAAAATAGTGCAATATAGTTTGTATAAATAGGCAGTGTAGAATTTTCAGTGAGGTACTCACAAGCGTAGAGCCAAATATATGTGGCTCTCACTGTTGTCGCCTTGGGACTTTTTTAGGATGTCCCTCTCCTGGCTGGATCACTGGTCCCACATGATGTGTTAAGAACTTATAGCTAAAACTGCTATATTAAAGTCCAACCAAATGGCTGATAAGTGTTCCGAGGTTTCAGACCATGAGTTGCAGACCATGAATCTCGTGAGATCCAGTCAGAGCGTTGCCATGGTAACCCGCGGCAACGCTCTGATTGATCAGATCTGGCGAGACACATGGTCTGCGATGGGTGCCAGAGGGGCATCGCACTCAGCGGCATATCGAGCAAGCTGCCAGGCCCCCTCCATGTGTCGGGTCCTCGGTCAGTGACCCAGGACCCAACACATTCTGCCCCAGGTTCCCCCCCTACTGAGTGGCTCCCGGGGCGGACCATCCCCCTTTGCCCCCCTTAGTACGCCACTGATGCTATATACACTATAACAACTACCTTAATCTGTATATAGTTTAAAGGTAAATATAACCAAAATTCCACCTAAAAGGAAGGAATAAGTGCAGGTGGATTGGCACTAAAAACAGAGCAGCAACTACCCCCAGTGTCTGTAAATCACTCAAAAGACACTACCAAATAGTGATAAAACAAGATAACAAAGTGGGGGGTGCAGTTAACAGATAAAAAGCATAAAACGGATATACTTATAGTTAAACGTTCCTTAAGCTTAATCTGAAAAATATAAAAGTCCATACATAGTGTAATACTGTAAAATGTAGGAAAGATAGAGACAAAGGTATCGGGTCACTCACAATAGATAGAGCCTAGAAAGTAGGCTCTAACTTGATCGCATGTGGAAAATCAGCTTTCCCAAGCTATACAGAATGGCCCCACGATCCTCCTGTAGGTACTGGTATTCAGCTCCAGACGTAGGAAAGATGGATAATAGACCAAAGTATTGTAGTAGTTAAAAGGTATTTACTTCCAATAAAATAACAATATAATAAAATGTAATATAAAATAATAATATTACATAAACTGACACAACGCGTTTCGACAAACTGTCTTTATCAAGTGTATAACGTAAGTCTTCTTCCGGCGTTCTTTTTGTATCTTTAGTTCCGGAAATGTGGTCCTCCGGCCGAAATTCTCTTCCGGTATGGCGTCTATAGTTTACCTTTAAACATTCCTATTGCATTGCAGGGTGTGCCTCTTCCTGTATTGATACCGCAGCGTAATAATAATTAGTGACAGCCAAGCACTAAATTTTCTGCTCTTTTGGCTCTCTCTGCAAAACTCCCTTGTGTTGAGGAAATTAGTATGCTATTTGTTCTATTTGCCTTGTACTGAGAGATTGATTTGCTGTTAATTAGCTTTCCCAGTATCTCGAGTAGCCATTCACAGAGCTTGAGCACTGTTTAGCCGAGGGCTCCCCCCCGGCACCCATTACGACTAGGACTCTATGGTATAACTTATTTTTATAGGGACACCGTTTCCTTACATTGTTGCTACTCAGCACTAATGCAACCACCATTTGTACATATGTATATTTTTTATTTATTTATTATTATTATTTTTCTCCATTATAATTTTGTTCACTGTATATATTGTGTGATTTGTTCACTTATCAACATTAAGATGGATTTTTAATTTGTTTTAGTGTCATTATATCGCCACCTTCTGGCCATATGATAACCTATTTTACAGACTGCTATAATAAAGGTTACGTTTTATCTATATTCTTATAGGCAAAGGTACTCTGTTCCTTTCCCCTTCTTTTCAAGTTAATTACTTCTGGGTTCATGCCCTATCCTCTTAGGCTACAGACCTTATTCTGATTCTCCCACACCCTCTCTCTTTCTTTCCCATTATTCCTCCCAGAAGGTGGCAGTTCATATCTCCTGAGCCATGTACGCACATTACCAGCTCGTACCCATATGTAGCCTTTATATATAAAGAGTGGGCCATCAATTGTTCCTGCCAGTGTATCGGAGTGTTGTCGTGGGTTACACCCAGCAGCCCCATGTCCCCTCTCACACCAAGCAGCCCCATGTCCCTCTCTCACACTCTGCAGCCCCATGTCCCAATCTCATACCCTGCAGCCCCATGCCCTTTCTCACACTCTGCAGCCCCATGTATCCCTGCCACACTCTAGATCTCCTTTTATGCCCCCACACACAACATTCACTATCCCCTACACTGCACACAGCTGTCCTGAGGGGCATTAAGCAGACATGCCACTTTAGGGAGGTGTGCATGTCATTTGTGATAACACAACATGCAGCCCCATTGTGTGCCTCTTATTCCCCCCCACTCCCTTTGTGTGTAACTTTCTCCCCCACAGCCCATTTGTGTCTTTTCTGCCTCCCAGCCCCTTTCTCTCTTTCTCTTTCTCCCTTTCCCTAATCTCTGTGTCTATCTTCCCCCATCATCAGACCCTCTGTGTGTCTCTTCCTCCAACTCCATTTGTACATCTTTCTCCCCAAGCCCTTTTGTATATATGTTTCTCCTCTCCAGCCTATCTGTGTGTCTCTCCCCAGCCCCACCTGCACTGTGTGTGTGTCTCTACTCTTCTCCAGCCCCTTTGTATGTTTCTCCCCTGACTCTCTGGGGCTACCACCAGCCCTTGTTTTGTGTGTCTTTCACTCCTCACAATCCTTTGTGGTTTCTTCCACTCACCCCCACCATTTCCTGTGTGGTCCTTCCCCTTCCCTTCTGGTATGCATGCTTTATGGTATTTTGTAGTTTGGCCATGTGGACTATGGTAGAGGGTCTTCATTATTATCTACCTTGTCTGACAGGAAGCTGTTTATTGCTCTCAGCAAACAGCTTCCTGGCAGACTGGGTAGAGGATAAAGAAGATCCTCTTCTGCAGTCCGCATAGACACACAACATGATTCATGAAACTTTATGGAATAGTGCATTGCACATACTAAACCTTTTTATATTCAGGGGAAAAAAATTACTTAAAGAAATTTAATGTTAATTGGCCATAAAATAAAAATTCATGTTAAATTCAATTTAATAGTGACTAGCTATATGTTGCAGTCTTTGATAGCGATATAGGGGACACATATGTCAAATTATAGCCTAGATATTTTATAGATTTGGTCTGAAAGGCAGCCTGCATATTGGTTACCTTTGATTCTCAATGAGTCACATTTCTGAAATCAGGAGATGAAGAACCCCATGTTGAGAAAACCTCTGAGGAACCATGACTTATATGACTGTCCTTCCCTCTGGGCATTAAGCGATGAATGTGGAGATGTAGTATATAATATAATCCCACCATTAACAGAATTATACCACACGCAGGACTTAATGTATAATCAATCCTGGTGTGAGGGAGTTAATCACATGTTTCCCCAGAGTACTTTCCCAGTACGTACCACAACAAGCACTCAAATACATACTTCAATAGGGGACACATTCAAAAATACTCAACATATAATATGCAATATTTCATAATACAATGAAACATGAATATTATACTGCTATACAATTGCATTCACAGAGTGTAGAAGTGTTTCAGCATCTTGAGGTGCCTCCCCCAATGTATGGGAAAGGTTAGTACAAATAATATGTCCAGTACTCTTGGTCTGCTTCAGAGAGACTCCAACAAAGACAAAAGTTGTGGTAAAAAACATTTATTTCAAAATTATGATATGATCAAATTTATGGTCCAACACATTTGTTTCCTGATTAAGACTTCTTCAGGGATCATCAATAAAACATACAGCAAAATAAATGTTACAATATAAATTACTGCCATAAGCCCATTTAAATAGCTCTGATCCTCCTATTTCTTTGGTTTCTCATGGGTGTGCTTTCCTCATCCTGAATTGAACCAATCACTTAACTTTTCACATGTTCACCTCCACGCCTCCCATCAGTTGGATTGCATCGGGAACTACTATTCGTGTGTTCAAACAATCATCAGAAAACCCAAATGTTCTATGTGCATTAAATTTATTTCCTTGTGTTCCACCATAATTTTAAGCGCAATGACATCGGTCTTAAATGCCATGTACAACTACAACAAGAAATAAGAGAACAGCAGCAAGCGGAAAGATCAGTGTTCTTCTTAGACACCCTGAAAATAATTACAGTTAATCAACATCACTTAGTAGGGACTCCTTTCACCCCAAATTCATATTTCATTACACATAGCATTTATTGAATTATTTATATTATAACAGATTATATTTAAAAAGTGCATCCTGTTATTACTTTTACTCCTTTTATGTTAAACTTCAAATTCAAATACTAAAATCGAGTAAAGTGCCCATATACCAATTTATATTTAATACATACGAAGTAATAGGTGGAGCTGTGTAATGTCCTATATCTGTAAGACAGAATAAATGCAAATAGCGTAGAGAGTCTGCACAAATAATAATAGAAGTAAAAATAAAATCGTTGAACTCACAAGGTTGGAGTCATACCATCATATGACTCTAGCGGTATGTTCCTTTGGACCATTAGTGTCCAAAACGCGTTTCGCCTGATATACAGGCTTCCTCAGTTGGCTCTGTGTTGTTTCCTTTCTATAATAGAATAGAAAGGAAACAACACAGAGCCAACTGAGGAAGCCTGTATAATAGAATAGAAAGGAAACAACACAGAGCCAACTGAGGAAGCCTGTATATCAGGCGAAACGCGTTTTGGACACTCTAACCTGCTTTATCTATATCCAATATTTATTGGTATAGTATTTTTGTTTACTGTTAATTTTTGTTAACATTTTATATTGGAAATAAAGAAATATCTATTTTAAGAATAAGCAACATACTGAGAATTCCTTGGGGGACACAAAAAGGACCACTAAAGAGGAGTATCCAGTAACCAACGATAGAAGGGTCTGGACAACCCCCTAATGGTCCAAAGGAACATACCGCTAGAGTCATATGATGGTATGACTCCAACCTTGTGAGTTCAACGATTTTATTTTTACTTCTATTATTATTTGTGCAGACTCTCTACGCTATTTGCATTTATTCTGTCTTACAGATATAGGACATTACACAGCTCCACCTATTACTTCGTATGTATTGCATTTGTTTTTATAGTGGTGTAAGGGGTACCACTTTATAGGTGTTTAAAGAGCTACCACATTTTTTATCACTGTGTACTTCTTTGTTTTCATATTGTTACAATTTATATTTAAGTTGGCATTATTGAAATTTTGCCCTTTTCAAGTTTAATTTGCGCCAATATATTAATTTCCTTATTAATTTGTAATAAAATAAAACATCCAAATATATTATAATTATTTACTTCATCATGTAATTACTCTGCATTATTTAGAATTTTAATTTACATTACTTAAAAATATATATATCCGAACGTATTTTTCATCTTCATCTTAATTTTTTTTTTTTTTAAATTGGCTTATCTATTCAGAACAATACATACAATGGAAGCACAGTGTTACGAATTGTACAAATTAGAGTAAATTCTGAACATCGCTGTAATCATGTTCATTTGGCACATTGATGATTGTACAAAACAGTAAATGATAAGTGGGACAGAATCATTCTTAGTCAAAAACAATATATCATTGAATTGTGTGTTGTCCATGATCTGTCATTGCTGAATGGTCAGTTCAATAATCAATTATTTAATAATCATCTAACCTTGTTTAGGGTTAGTTCTTGTTATGAAGGATATTTGAAATGACAATAAGAGGTCAAGCAGCTTATAACAATGAGTAATTACTAATGAAATAATAATGAAAGGTAGTATAACCGTTAAGGGTAGCATAACAGTTAGAGGTAATAGATTAGGTGAGGGTTTTAACTTTTTGCCTTACACATTATAGTTAATTTGGGAAGCTTTGGCTTAATGCAGAATAGACAAGACTGTAGTCTCAGTTACTTTTGGTTGTTCAAGGTAGATGGTGCTAATCTTGGAGGGGGCGGGGGGTTAAGGCTTTATTTTAAGTATGTGTACACGGCAGAGCCAGACGAATAACGGTTTATTCCATGTTGTGACGTCTGACATTACAGTTTACAGGAGAGGTGGGAAATTTATAGAGTAGAGTTTGTTTGATTCATGGGGAGGAAGACCCCCAAATATTTGAATGCCGTCTTGGACCAAGGGCAGGGAAATTTCTGTTCTAGAGCAACTTTAGTTTGGGGGTCTACACAAAGCGGTAGTATTTTACTCTTTGTGAAGTTAACTTTAAAATTTGATAGTCTATTGTTAAAGGAGACTTCTTCTAACAGGGGGGCACAGAGGACAGCGGATCTGAAATCGTGAAGAGGAGATCATCAGCAAACTCTGCTAGTTAAAGCTCTTGTTGGTTTGTTTTAATGTCATGTATATCAGTGTTATTGTGAATGCCCTGTAGGAATGGTTCCATTATCTGAATAAATCAAAGAAGAGGGGAGAGGGGACACCCCTGTCTACTGCCATTGTGGATTTGGACATGCTCAGAGAGCTGACCATTCCTTTTAATTTTGGCACTTGGGGAAGAGTAAAGAGCTGCCAGCTCATGGTGCCAGTGAGGGACAAAGCCCAACGCTTTTAGAGTTTCAAAGAGTAGTGAACAGTTCACCCTGTTGAACTCCTTTTCGGTGTCTATGGAAAGTCAAAGGTATTGTGTGCAGTTCAGTTTTGCCAATTGGATAAGGCCTTACATCTTAGTGGTACAAAGCCAGCTTGATTAGGGTGGACAAGATCTGTAGGAGAGTGTGAAACCGATTGGCTAAGATTGTAGTGAAAGATTTTAGGTCAATGTTAATCAAGGAAATTGGGCAGTATTTGCTACAGTTGATGGGATTTTTGCCTTCTTTAGGGATAAGTGTGATGTGATGCTCTAGGGCAGAATCGGCTAGGGACGTAGATTGAATAAGATAATTGAATGCCGTTTTAAAGGGTTTTGATAGTGTGTAAACAAATGACTTGTAATATTTGGACTTTTTCCCAGTGGGAGGTATTTTACTACATAAAAACAGTTACTACAGTTTGGAATTCTTCCCTTGAGATGGGAGCCCCCAGGGCCTCTAGCTCAATGGGAGGGATGGTTCGATGAGTTCTCGTGGAGAGGAATTTAGCTATTTCATCTTTATCAGTTTGTACAAATTTGAGTAAAACTCATTGAAGGCTACTAGGATATCTGGAAGTTTGTGGGACATGTCACCAGAGGGTTTTTTTAAAGGACCACTATAGGGACACAGACCACTTCAGCTTAATGAAGGGTTAACCCTTTTTTTTATAAACATAGCAGTTTCAGAGAAACTGCTATGTTTACATTAGGGTTAATCCAGCCTCTAGTGGCTGTCTCATTGACAGCCGCTAGAGGGCTTCTGCGTTTCTCACTGTGAAAATCACAGTGAAAAGACACCAGCGTCCATAGGAAAGCATTAAAAATGCTTTCCTATGGACTGGCTGAATGCGCGCACAGCTCCTGCCGCGCATGCGCATTCAGCCGAAGAGGAGGAGAAGAGGGAGGAGAGCTTCCCGCCCGGCGCTGGAGAAAGAGGTAAGTTTAATCCCTTCCTCTCTCCAGAGCCCAGCGGGAGGGGGTCCCTGAGGGTGGGGGCACCCTCAGAGCATTATAGTGCCAGGAAAACTAGTATGTTTTCCTGGCATTATAGTGGTCCTTTAATTTGGGAGATAAAGGTTGTTTGTCTAATGCCCTGAAGCATTTTGGCTAACAAGCGGTCACGCTTTCCACTTTGTGAGAAGTAATGTGTTTGGTAAAGACAGTGGTGTATCCTGGTTTTGTGCTGCCCTAGGCAGGACAAAACTCAGGCACCTCCCTCCCCCCACACCACCCCCACCCAACCCTTCCCCCCCCGCCCCACCTTCTAAATACACACACACACACAGTCAGACACACACACACAGTCAGACACACACACACACAGTCAGACACAAACACACACAGTCAGACACAAACACACACACAGCCAGACACAAACATACAGCCAGACACAAACACACACACAGACACAAACACACAGTCAGTAAGAAACACACAGTCAGTCAGACACACACAAACACACACACACAGTCAGACACAAACACATACACACACACACACAGTCAGACACAAACACAGTCAGACACAAACACACACAGACACAGTCAGACACAAACACACACACACAGTCACTCACATTAACTTTTTTTTTAATTTAACTCCCCCCCAGCCCATCAGCCAGCGCCGCCAGCCCAGCATGTCTGTTAGCCGCAAGGCTAACTAGGCATTTGCCCTGGGCATTTGGGGGCGGCCCCCTGAAAAATGACGCCCAAGGCAAATGCCTTGTTTTCCTCACGGCTAATACGTCCCTGGGTAAAGAGCAGTTTGTGTTTGATCTGAGTATTAAGTAGTTGTTGCAGCTCGGTTCTCTTGCCTATCAATTGTTTGTAAGTCTCAAGGGAATTGGAATGTTTGTATTTTTCTTCTAATGACCTGCTTGTTAGAAGTGTGTAATTTAGCTTGGATTCTCATTGCTCTTTAGCCTTAGAGGCTAGAGCAATAAGATGGCCTCTGATAATGGGTGTGTGGGCTTCCCATTTGATTGTAGGGGACATGAAGGGTAGAGAGTTCTCTGAAAAGTAGTGATTAAGGGTTTCGGCAACTTGAGTGACTAGAGTTGGTCATTAAGCAGCAAATCAATGAGCCACCAATGGAATTACTTAGAAAGCACGGAAGTTCCAGGAAAACAAGTTTGGCCTTGATTCAGACTTTGATTCAGAATTTCTTGGCGAAACAAATGCAGTTCAACAGAAAAAAATACATGAAACAAAATATAAGTAACTATATACACATGAACTAAAAGTTCTACAGAGAAATGTGGTTTATCTGGAAATTGCAGTTTACCAAAATCATCATCTTCAGTGTCTATCCCGTGGTGAAAAAGCATTTCCCACTGGAATCAATGCAACACCGCTTATATGGTCTCTTGGACCGAGAGGATGAAGGAGATGGTCTAGTACGCTTGGGCTTGGAACTATAGAGCATCATCGTGTGTGAGCGTAGCCATCACTATGCGTATGGATTGAAAAATCAAGGCAATTTAATAGGTATAGCGTGTAATTTCTGGAGGGGCATTAGATCTGGGGCGCAGGGTAGCCCAGCTAAAGGAATCAGTTAATGTTATTAAAATAGCAATGTTGGGTATACTATAGATTGAATCAGAAAGGTTCACCAGCAAATCAACTCAATAACAGGAATATAACAAGAGAGACTTACTATTAGCACTAACATGTATCAGGACAGAAACCACAATAGGGCAATGAGTAAGGGCTAGAACAGGCCTTAAATAGGTTCAAAAGCGTTCCCATTGGTCCATGTCATCTCTGCGACCTCTGCACTAAATCACACAAAGGGGTGTGATCTGTGAATGGCAGACGATGTGTCTAGTATAAAAAACCTACACCTACAGAGTCATGTCATTTCAAAGGGCTCCTGTAGGTGGCGCGAGGATGCCAGGCTTTGCTCTGTACGAGCAGCAACTGAATGCAGAGCAGTGTTCTCTGTGGCTGGAACAGCATGACCCAGCGACTTCGTGGCTGCTGTGTGGACCTTAAAGGGTCCAATGAAATGAGGGGCCAATTTCATGGAGGCGACACGGAGGTGAATATTCCT